TCAGAGAAGGAGCAGAGCTCCCAGTTGAGCTACGGATGGCTGATTCAAGAATCTTACTGCTCAGATCCTCAGCTGGTGTAAAGTGACATTGCTGCAATGATTCACTATGGCAGGAAACTGGCTCTTTGGAAAATTGAAATTTATACCAGTTTACACCAACCAGTTTTGCTCAGTTTTCTTGCCTGCTGTTTCTGCTGCTCCCATTGATCCTGCTACAATTGGTATCAGTTCTGTAATTCAATTTCAGTCTGTTCAATATGAGGAAGAAATGCAACTGTCAAGTGCCTACACTTCTCAAAGATCTGTTAAGTGAGTTGCAGTTCATCTGGAAGGACAATGGATCAAAGAATTGATATTCTAGCTGAGACGGCAGTTCTAGAACAGGCAGCATAATCCCAGGGTGAATTTACACTGCAGAATGAATGCAGTTTGACACAACTTTAACTGTCATGGCTCAATGCTATGGGATCTTGGGATTTGTAATTTGGAGAGGCATCAGGACTCTTTGACAAGACTGAAGACATTTTAAAACTATAGCTCCTATGATTCCATAGAATTGACCCATAGCAGGTAAAATGGTGTCAAACTGAATTAATTCCACACTGAAGATGTACTCTCAGTCTTATCTTCTCAACAGCACAAAACATGCATGCATGACATTATCTCATTCAAAGGAATCCCTCCCAGAAACTTTCTAACTTTTGTAGGATGTTCACAGAAGCGAGGACAGTTTAATCCTAACCATTGGGAAGTTCCAGTATGACTGGGTAATTCTGGGGTCACCTCCTCTTCCAACCATAAAGCTCATAAGGAAACCTTTGATCACCTCTCAGCTTCACCTACCTCACAAGGTTCTCCAAGAACAAAATGGAGAGAGGAAGCACACCACTTTGATCTCCTAAGAGGAAAAACAGAATCCCACAGAATGATGATGCTAGAGGGGGTCTTGTGAGCTATCTCTGGTCCATTCCTCTTTTTGGTACAAGACAACAGTGTAGCAAATACAGGTAGTCCCGAAGTTACAAACATCCAACTTACAAATGACACACAGTTATGAATGATACTGAGACAACATTCATAATGAGACTGAGACAACAGGAAGTGAGATAAATCTACTCCTCGGAAGGGAAATTCATTCCTGAAAGAGTTTTCATGCGGAAAAGGTGTCTCAACTGATGCTTTATCACAAATCCTTGTTTCCACAATAAGCCATTTTTTTCAGAATCCAATTATCACAGGAATAGAAGTGAAGCAAAATTTTCTATCGGTGTAAAGACAGAAAAACAAAGACCACAGGGATGTTAACCCTTCCTTGTTATCCAAAGCCTATATATATATATATATATATATATATATATATATATATATAGACATTTGACTGGAGTTACATTTTAAAAATGTATCAGTTCCAATTTATAAACAAATTCAACTTAGGAACAAACCTACATAACCTATAACTTGGGGACTGCCTGTAAATGAAGGTTTGATTCGGAGATAAGAGATTTTAGGATGATGCCATAGATGGGAGAGAAAATAGTTAGGGAAGCCTTGATGCAGAAGATAGCCTAGTTGCTTGCCCTCTTTAAAGTATGGAAGGAGGGAGAGAGAGAGGGTGCATCCACACAGGCTGGAAAATGTGCACCCTCCTGGATTTTTACGTGGTGCATCAAATGATGCCTCAGGTTAAAAAGAAATTACTTCAGCACAAATCAGAAAATCCCTACTTTGTGCCGATATAATCTGACAGCTGGAAAGACCCAAGTCTTTCAGAAAATCCGGTTCTTCTTTCCAGTGATGGGCGCTGTGAGGATTTGGCTCGGGGATCATGTCACATGACTTCTGGTCCCAATACACACAGCTTGAGATTTTTTGGGCTCATGGAGCTTGAAAAACCCAAGACAGCCCTATCCTCTCCCAAAACTCCCCAGGAAAGACTTAAAAAGAAAAAAAACTTACCAGGCCAACATTTCCCTGCTGCCGTTCCTCTCCTGGCATATAGAAATGATGCACCAGGAGAAGGGGGGGGAGGAAAATTGCTCCCCCTCTTTCTCCTGGCACATCTTTTCTACATGACAGGAGACGGTTGGCAGCAGGGAAATGCTGGTCGGGTAAGTAATTTTTACTTTTTAAGACTTTTTTTGGGGGGGGGGTGTTGGTGTCTGGGTGCCCTGCCAGAAGGTCCAGCAGGGCATCTGGACACCCCTCCCCCAGGAAAGCATGTTTTTTTTTTACTGGTGTGGGGACAGAAGTCCAGTCTGACCCGGATTTTTTAAACCTGGGTAAGACTGGACTTTTCCCCTGTTTGAAAGAGGCTGGTTAGAAATAACTTCAATGTATGAAAGACAAATGGCATAGATTCTAGATTAAGGGGCTGTGAGGAGATGGAATGTAAACTTGCTGCAGAAAGTGATGTGAAACTGCTTTTCTCTAGACATTATGCTCCGACTGCATATCCTACATCAGTTTTCTACATTAAGGGGAGCCCCTAGACAAGACTGTCTTTTATGTTTTCCAGTGACTTTGATATATGTGCTGCTGGTTTAATGGAGGACAAGTGCACATCTGGATGGAAGAACTGGCTTTGATGGTTTGATGGATTCACTCCCTGTTCCATTCTTTTACGGCATTATTTGGAACATTGGGTCCGGTTCTGTTTGGCAAACTGGTAGCTTTTGAAATGAACCAAGACATATGAGTAATAAATAAGTCTCCAGGACAAGGAAACAATTTTGAAGTTAAACATTTTCAGAAGAGAAGGAGGATGAAGACAACTCAGTGCTGAAATAAGCTTGCTGGGAAGTGATGGAAATCTCAGAGCTTCAAACTAGCAAGGAAAAAAAAGAGGTATAATCATGAGAATAGGCTCACACAGAACCAATGGATCTTTTTTTCAATTCCATTTTCTGTAATTCTACCAAGATAAATAAAGCACATTGATGGTTCCTGGCAAGTGCATCAGATGATCTGAAGCTGATGGTAATCAGTACTTGGCTATATTTGTGGATATTAGCCACTGTTCTCCATGTCTAAGCAAGACAACAAAAGAAGCCATTGTATCAAGGGTGAATATGGAGTCTGAAAGATCTTATAAGATTGCATGTGATACTGAAGTTTCTTCCCAAGAAATCTGTAAATTTGTAAATATTGTTAAGACACAGGACCTCATCACACATAAAGTGCCGTCTGTTTCTAGATGAAATTCTATGGATCTCATCAAATGATGCACAACCCATTCCATGGATGTCCTGTGGGACTCCATCTCTGCAGTATGTAGAAATGAGTGGATTTAAAAGATGGGCTAAAATTGGCTGCACTTGCCTCCCTTAGTTTAAATATGCTTAGAAACACACATGTTTTCTGTCTGATGGAAAATGGTGCATTTGACTATTTTCAGTTCGTCTCGTGAGGTTTCAGTGTGGGTGTGCATGTGGGTGGTCTTTTCATGCACCTTGATGCTCCTTCTGCTGCCATTACTCCTTGGACACAGAAAAGTACTGGTAAATAATTCTATCCTCTTTTTGTTGCTGTAAGTGTGCAATTCTGAACCTTTAAATTCTGCCTTATTGCTAATTTCTTGTTTTGAAAGCTCTTCAACAACTGCACATTTTTAAAAAAAAATAGGGGAAAATCCCATGTGACACATGCATTCTACAGATGACAGAATGGGAGCAGATAACAGCCACTTGTGTGATGAGGAATGAAGCACACGGTTTAACTGAAAATGGGAAGAGGCGCATTCTGTGTGATGGGGTCCTTAGTTGAAATTAAGAACTGTTAAATCCTATTGCACTGTTTTGATTCTGAACAATGTCATCATATGTGGCAAATTTCGGCTTCCCGGGCAAGCGCTGCCGGGATCGGTGCAATGTGTAGCAATCCGCGGTGATTCTGACAGCACGTGTGACAAGGTATAAAGTGTTCAGAACTCTATTTACCAGACGTTACCCATGAAGGAAGCATTGGCCCCTTTCTGTAAAGAGCAAAATATCTGCATGCATTTAGTGATGCCCTCATATTGTTGTGCTACTGGAAATTCAATCTGCCTTTCAAAAGACGAACTGTTGGCAACCTAGGATCTCATAGAGGAAGCAGTATGATATCTCAGCAATAACATAAGCTTCAAAAAGAACAGCTTTCCAGTGTCTTTGAAAATTTCATTTTTAGCTGAATGATTGTGAAGTGCTGCTGTGCCAAGCCTATCACATGTTCTAATGAAAAGTAGTATGTCATTGTTCCCTTGGATTTGCCATCTGCTACAATCACCTGTTTGCTCATAGCAACAGTTAGTTCCAAACCCCTTACAACAGACCCTTTTCTCCACTCCCATCTTCCTCTTTTGTCTTATGCATTTGGGGCCAAGACTATCTCTTCCAATATGTTTGTCATTGGATCTTGGCCCTCATTTCTGCCATCGTACATTAAGCAAACCACAGATTACAAATGTACTAAAAAGCTTAGTCAGGCTATTTTGCATTAATATTTAAGCCAGATTATTTTGTATTAAAACCATTAGAAAAGAAGGCCAGAGTACTATCACAGTCATCATTACTGCTTAAAAGCTAATTGTTGAAAACTGTACCTCTCCTAGAAACAGGCAGCGTTTTGTTGAGTTTCTCTCAGATGCGGCTGTTTTCTTCCCAAACTGGTTTTATGACAGATTGAAGGTTTTTTTTCCTTTTGTACTGAAACTCATTTTAAAAACAATTTTCCTAATGTGTGCATTTATTTTGCTCAATTTACTTAATATAGATAACTACTCCCCATTGAGTAAAACATTGTTGCGTATTTTCCCCAATTGTGCTCTTTTTAGTAATTTACATTTTAAAATATGTTCATTGTTTTAAGGACACTTCTATTCTGAAAATCTCAGGAAAGTGTGAAAATTTGTGGCAAGGTGCACATTTTATAACAATTCACAGAAGATGTGTGAATATGTTACTTTCATTGAAGCTGCCAAGTTCAATTATATGATTTTCCATTCCTAGAAACATGGTACTTACCAAAGAGCTGGTATAAGTTGGGTCTGACGTATCATCTTGAAGGTAACGTGAGAGGCCAAAATCAGACACTTTGCAGACTAGATTGCTGTTGACAAGTATATTTCTGGCAGCAAGATCCCGGTGGACATAATTCATCTCTGCAAGGTACTTCATACCAGCTGCAATCCCTCGTAGCATGCCCACCAACTGGATGACTGTAAACTGCCCATCGTTTTGCTGAATTAGTAAAAGGTAAATGACATGAATCAGCATTTCTTACTGATTTAACTTTAACCTAGAGTCATTGCTGAGAGCAAAAGTCCATAATAGAAGCATAAGGAAAGGAAGAGCCATTTGGGCAGGAAAGTAGGCTGATTTTTGGAAAGCAGTGATGGACTGGCCATGGTGACTGCTTATCCAATGGTGAGTGGTCTCCTTTAAATATTAGACAATATGTTTAAAACGTCAATGACTTTTTAGTAACTTGAAAATGTAATCGAACTTCAAATATTATTATGATGTTGTATTACTACAACAATGTATGTTTTATTACTATTTTAATAAAAAAATAAAATCATTATAGTTGTGGGGTGGTCCCCCTTTGTCTCCTTGTCGGCCCCCTTTGCCTTCTGACAACCAATATTTTTAGACCTAGTCCACCACTGATATTAAGACATTGTGAGAGGTAGGAAAACTCAGAGGCAGTAGATAAAGGAAAGGACCAGAACAAGTAACAGGTCATAAAAGAAAAAAATAATGGAAAAAACCCTCAATTCCTAAGGGCAGAAGAAGCTGTATATGGGTGGCAGGAGAAGTCTAAAATATAGTCAGAATTCTACATGCACTACTTAGTTATATAACTATTTTAATTTCATAGCTATATATAGCATCTCCCAGCCCAACCCACCTCCATCTTGACTTACTACACAGCAGATGCTGCAAGCAAAAGGGATCTGTTCTTTGTCAATTAGGATGCAGCAGACTGACATTTTCACGTACACACCATGAGCAATGTCTGGTGTGAAGAGGAATTGTGAATGGAGAAAGATGGTGGGACTGACAGTGAAAGACACGGAAAAAGATCTAAGAAAATAGAAGTGATACAACATTTCTCACGGGAAACAAGAACTCCATGATGAGCAAGTTTTGGTCTCAGGTGTTGTCTTTTTTTCCCCATCAATAAATGGATAAGTATATGCTCCTTTTTCTTGAAATAACACTACCTTTGTAATGTTTGTTGATTTCTCTTTAGATATGACTCTTTTCAAATTTGGATGTTGGCTTTTCCCCAAAACTTTAACTGTAGAATTCTTGTTTCCCATCAGAAATGGCTGTATCACTTATATTTTCTTAGATACTTGATAGTTGTTTTTGTTGTTTGTAATACACTGATGCATGGTATTTAAGCATGGGGGGGGGGCAGGTAAGTATTTCCAGTATTTACATTTATCTTCTATATATATTATACTTATCAGTCCCATCATGTTTTTCTTTTCACTTCAGTATTCAGAGATTGGTATTGGTGGGAAGGAATTATGATAGGGATCCTGCTTCTGACTGTTACACTAGAAATTATTCATGGGAGAGGGTTGATATGACTCTTTTGGATTCATTAATCCATTGTAAAAAAAAAAACCATGTGCATGCCTTGGCACATACCACAAAACCTGAACTCATTAGATGGTCCCATTCCATGGTCACAAAAACCAAACAAGCAAGGAAGCAAGCATGTAAACAAAAGATGGCTGCACTTACCCTCAAAAAAGAATCCAGGGCTCCATTTTCCATAAATTCTGTGATAATCATCACTGGCCGGCTTTTCGTGACCACCCCCTCTAGTCGGATAATATTTGGATGGTCAAACTGACCCATGATGCTAGCCTCACTGAGGAAATCCCGCCTCTGCTTCTCAGAATATCCAGCCTTTAAGGTCTTAATAGCCACATAGATTTCTCTCTTGCCAGGCAGTTTCAGGCGCCCTTTATACACTTCGCCAAACTCCCCTATAATGGAACAAATATTACTTACAACTCATTCCGCTTAATATTTCTGAAGGGAAAAGTTACAAAAGCTACCCAACAGCTTCTCCTGAGTGGTCCTGTCCTATGATATTCCAAGTGTTTCTGTTAAAAGTCAATGGAAGGATGGTATTGGTCTAAAAAACCAGCTGCACATAAAGTGCAGTCACAGAGCTCTTGCACCTTTAATGATTGTGTAAATAAGGAAGTTTTACACTGGTTCAGCTTTTCTAACCACATAATGATATGACAAGCTGTATTTGTTAAAATTCTCTCTCCTTCATGGCTATGAAAAACCCAGAAGCCTCTAATCAGCTAGCTCATCTGTATCCTGGTCATTACAAACATTGCTGGCTTTTACTGCCAAGCTGCTCCACTGATTGACACCTATATCAACAGCCAAGTCTATATGTTTATTTTTTTAAAAAACACAGTAATTCATTCATGTCTGCTCAGTGAACTCTTGTATTTTACTCAATCAGTAGTTAATTCAATTGCAATATGTTTTATGTTACAATCTGTTTTGTTTAAGAGAAACTTGAATATGGTAAGGGCTGTTTGACAGTGGAACAGACTGCTTTGGGAGGTAGTGGGCACTCCTTCATTGGAGGTATTTAAGCAGGGGCTAGATGACCATCTGTCAGGGATAGTGGTGTATTTGGAATGTTGAAGAACATAATCACAGCTCTTCTGGGTCAGACAAAAGGCATATTGATCAAATCCAGTATCTGATCACAGAGTGGTCAACCAAATGTCTTTGGGAAACCCATAAGTAGGACACAAAAATAACTCATGTTCCCCAAGAACTGGTACTGGAAGGCATGATCCCTCTACCACTTGAAGTAATACTTAGTTATAACGACTTATAGCCATCAGTAGCCTTATCTCCCCATGTCAGTATCCAGCAAGTGATTGTGGATACCATTGTTTAACTATGTGCTGCATGATGAAGTACTGATTTCGTCTGTCTGAATCTCCAATCATTCTGCTCCAGTGGATTAGTCATTTTCTAGTATTATAAAATAAAGAGATGCATGCCTTCTTGTCCACTCTCTCTATTTCACACATAATTTTGTACCGTTCTACCAGGAGTTTTATTTCTAAGCAAAATAGTTCCAAATATTGTAACTTTGCTCGCACTGGAACTACTTTAGCCCCTTGATCATTTTGATTACAATCTCTGCACCTTTTCTAGCTGGTAAAATATCCTTTTATGATGCAGAGAGCAGAACTGTCAGCTGGATTCCAAGGGACAGCAGTTACATTATGAGTCTATATGAGGAAAATACATTATTGGTAGCTTTATATGATATCCAGAGCTTGGTCGTAATTAATTTTACTTGTAATTGATTCCTTCTTCCAAGTCCATGTAGATTACAACGGTAACTTAATGAGGAATAACTACACTCTTTCTAGTGTAATTGTCATATTTATACAGTTGGAGCTAATTGAACCATGGTGACATTGTGTGGTATGAGCTTTCATTCATGTCACTGCCTGCAGACTTTGCATGTAACAATAGTAACTAACTTAGTAACTAAATTATTGAAAGTAAAGTGCCAGTTTTTTTGCATTTCTAATACAATCATGGTTATTTTATGCACTTACACCTATATCTATTTTTATCGATACTTTACCAAGACTTGATTATGCCCCATATATACACAGCAGCAGCAGGAGCATACTGGGTTAACGTTTTCATCAAGTCATCCACCACAACAGCAAGATCTTTTCCTTGCTAGGCAAAACTAGCTTAGATCCCATAAGTGTGTATATGAAATCCTGCATGGATCCCAAAAAATCCTGCAAATATCTGTAGTAGTAATTTAATATGACTTATTCTCAGGTGCATGAGTATAAAACTGCAAACTTTTAACATTGTAATTATAAAAGTATATGTAGCAGGAGTAATTGATTCTGAATTACTTCAAAGAAAATAAGTTCAGGGTCAGGGTGCAAGAAACAAACAAGCATTAAACAAGACAAACAAAACAGATGGTTTTTAAAGTCACACCAACAAATACCATACCCAAGCAGATAAATGTATATAATAAAAGCAGCACAAGTGACAGACTTTGCAGTTTGAGCTCTCCTTCTCACCAAATCCTTGTGTTCTACCACCTTCTTTTAGAAAACCGAATCAATTGGTGTGTAATAATGAAGGAGTTTGGTAGAGGGATCAAAAAAGCTGAAGGACAAAGAGAATTAAGGGCACTTCCATACAAAAGCTCCTCCGGTGAGCATGATTCCAACGTGGGAATAAAAAAAATGCTATTCCCAGTTTAGTACATTGACTCTGCTCCAATTGCTTTTGACAACCAAGTTGATGGTACTCTACTCCATTTGGACTGGCTGTGATGGGAGTACAAAAATGCTTGCAGGTTTTAAACCTGCCAGTTGAGAAGAGATAATGCTCACTGGCAGCTTCATCTGGAAGAACATTTAGAGGGGAAAGGAGCAAATCTAAACAATGAAGGCAAAAGCAAGCAATGAATGTAAACAATGAGCTGCCATGGATGATAAGCAGTCAATTGCAAGAAGCTTGAAAAAAGAAAGGGAGAGACCAAAGAGCAAAAGCAAACAGTAGCAGGTGAGCTCAGATACACTGGAGGTATGAACATGATAGATCAGCAAACAAATGTTTTTTCTAAACTACATTTGGGGAATCTCTGGCCTTCCAGATATTTTGAACTTCAAATCCCATATACTCAGCCAACACAGTAAAGGACTTTGAGAGTTTTAGTCTGAACTAAGGCAAAGATCTAATCAATACAATGCCTTTGGGAATGGTCTCCCATCACCAAACTATTAGCACACAAATGGGATTTTGGTTTTATGGTAACTACTGGTTTTGATTATCTGGAGTTTTTCCTTTTTAAATGAAGGGTTGGCAGGGATACCCATCCCCCCAAAAAATTATTTGCCAGCTTGAAAGGGATAAAAATCCTGTTATAGCAGGAAGCGAAATGCTGTAAACTAGAGAGTTATTGCCCTACCCATTTGTTGTTAATTAAAATTAGGGTACACAACAATGTATTAAAGTGAGTCAATTAATTAAGCACTCTTTCTTAAATAACAGAAGGTTCAATTAGACTTACAGGAGAAAAGTGCCAGTCCATTATTAACTCAGCAGGATGTGCTGCAGCATCCACAACACAGGAGGAAGGAGGGGAGGGGAAGGGTTATGGTGAAGGACTGGCACTGAACACCTGTCCAATGGGAAAAAAGGCACACCTGCTCCAATGACTTCTTCAATCTTCACGAAAGACACATCAATTTCCTTGGCAAACTCACGAACTGCTTCATTGGGGTCCTCATACGTAAAAGGGTCAATGTAGATCTTCATTCCTGGGGAACCTTCTCAGTTTAGAGAAGATCGGGACAAAAAGAGGGAGAGAAAAATCATATTCATCTCTGGGAAGAGGGATTAACACCATGTCTCCTTAAATTCTTCTTCCTTTCCTGTCTTCACAATGACTTTTTCCCTCTGAACTCTCCCAATATTTCTTCAATTCATCCTGTTATTGTTTTCCACTTTCCCTATATTATCTTTTTTTCCTACATGATGTTTTTCCCCCTGCACTCTCCTTGAAATGTAGAACATATTAGTTATAACTGGCAGATTGGGAACAGGCCATAGGTTACACCCAGAAAGTGGGTGCATGCTGTTATTTATTGAAGCAGTACCAAATCTATTTGCAGGAAAAGTCAAGGAAAGAACTACAGGTAGAGATCAATATTTATCAATCTGACACCTTTTCTACATCAGGTTGATTGCAAGGGCCATGCCATGTGGCTGTGGTAGAGAAGCAAATGCAGAGCAACAATAAAAGAGAGGAACAGCAGCAAGCTGGAAGGAAAAAAAATGAATGAGTGGGAAGAGGAGGACAGGAGAGTGAAGGCAGAAGGAAATCACTCTGGGAAAAGTTGTCTTGGGGGGAAAAGAACAAAAGGGTAAAAAAGATTCAATCAGAGTAATAGAAGATCATCTGTGACGCTCTTCCGAAAGAGGAGGCGTATACAGACTGATGAACGCTTTAACAGAGAAGAGAAAGTTGTTTTTCAGCTCTTTGACATTCTCAGAGTGTTCCATTTGATTCAGACTGACCCGCTCTGCAACGTGAACATAAATGCCTCTTTCAAAGTCCTTCCCCATTTGTCCCATATACAATCAACTCGGAAGAGTGAGTTTCGAACCGCAACTAGTTTTCTGATTTTATGGCAAAAGTAGTGGAAGTTTATGGCACTTCTGTTCATGCATAATTTAACCAATTTTTATTTATTCCACATATCTTTGATAGTTTTGTGACTGACACTAAATGACAGAATGTTGCAATTACAAACAAGTGAACATCCTAATGATAAAATACAACCTCCACAATAAATATTCTCAGGGTTTATATTAGTTTCCTAAAAGCCTCACAAAAGCTCTTATAGTGGACTGCCAAACTTTGACCAGACACAGCTAAGAATTTGTGGGGTACCAGTGGGAGCTTGGGAGATTGCCTGCAGGAACAAACTTTGGTAGAAACCTCATTATTTCACTCATTAAATTTTAAGAGAAATTTCACACTCAGAAACACAAATCGTATTGGTGGAGGCACTTCCTCCCATCTGGTGTGCATTAAATAGTGGAACACATGAATCTAACAAAAAGCCTGACCAGTATTGTGCAATTGATTTTTACAGATTAAATTCAGCAAATCAAGACACCAAAAATGCATGGCACCACCTGTTATAAAGGTAAGACAGATATTTTTTTCTTATTTGTTACCTTAGGACCTCTTAAATTTTTAATATACCCCTTTAGGGCCTTCTGTGCTGTTCTCAAAGGATCTTGTCAAATTATTCTGCTTCTATTTCCCTGCAGGGTGTTGATGTAGCTATGATATCCGGTAAACCTCATTAAACAAAACTAGTTAAGCCAGGTAAAATAGTGTGGTTCACCAGGAACTTAGAAAAGTATCTTTTCCAAGCTCTAGGTCATACAAGGAAGGCATTACATGTTCAAATTCTAAGTAGGTAGGTGCAGGATGAGATAAAAGCAAAGTGGTTACAGGAAAGAGGATCAGGTCAGATGTTTTAAAAGTCTTATATTTCTCATTAACTGATGGCTACACAACTCTGAAAATGATCTTTCTCATATTTCAAGACTGGGAATACTATGGCCAACTGCCCACACATGGCTCCCATTTTTGCAACCTTTGGTTTGTTCCCAGTTTCTCACCATTCCAACACAACAAGACTATTCACTCTACACAATTATAGTACAATATTCTACTTTAACTACCATGGCAATATCACATGAAATGGATAGCTTGGTGGATCACTTGAGCTCCCTAGCTGAGAATTCTGAATACCCTTCCCTATATTGAAAATCCCAGGGCTCCACAGGCTGTTGCTATGGGTGTTAAAGCAGAATCATAATGGGTTGTCATTGAAATTCACAAGCTTGTGGGCAATTTCAACAGAAAGGAGGAAACCATGAAAAATGAACAATATCTGGTTACCAGTTTTGTTTTTTTTTAAAAAAAAAAACAAAAAACCCAGAATTAAGACAGTAAATAAAGAACACCACTCAGAAACAGGGGCATTCCAGGCAGCAAATGATCAAGTGCCAATTAACTCCTCCCAAACAAAGAATGTCCCCAGGCAGCAACAGCCAGACTTTGCAGTTGCAAGGCTACTCAATACGAATCAAGCTGGCTAATTGCAGCATTGCTTCAAACAGGCAAGAGTTCTTTATCCCACCCTGAACATTTCACAGATACATATACATACACCCCATTTGCCTAATTTCCAACAGATCTCTGAACAAACCACTATGGTTGCTCTATGTTAGGTTTTATGTGTATATAAGCATTACATTTTGCCATAAATATGTTGGAAACAACTTTGAGTCCCCCCTGGGGTGAGAAAAGTGGTATACAAGTGAAATAAATGAATATATAAACAAACCTCTGAGGCTGCCTGCCACAGAAGCAGGTGAAACGGCAGGAGAGAATGCTACTGGAATATGGCCATAGAGCCCAAGAAACTCACTGCAACCCAGTGCTAAAGCCCATGAAAGCCTTCGACAACACACAGAATAATAATGCCATACCTGTACAGTATGAAAGGGACATAGGAAAAGAATGCTGATATAGGGAAAAAAGAAGGTGCTCTGCTGATGAACCAACTTGGGCATAGCATATTTTTGAGAACACAGAAATGCTGGACCACTCTAACAACTACCATGTCAGGCTACACAGAGAAGCCATTGAAATCCACAAGCATGTGGACAATTTCAACAAAAAGGAAGACACAATGAAAATGAAAAAATCTGGCTACCAATATTAAAAAAAAACCTCTAAAATTATTACAGTAAATAAAGAGCAACATTCAAACACAGGGGAACTCCAGACAAGAAACAATCAGGGACAGCTAATCACCTCTCAACAAAGGATTTCCCCAGGCAGGAACAAGCCACACCTAAAAACTGTCAGGCCATCAAATGCTAATCAAGGTGGCCAATTGAAACATTCACACCTAACTCCAGAAAACAAGAGTTCTTTTGCCAACCTGGACATTCCACAGATATATAAACCAAATTTTCCTAGTTTCTAACAGACCTCACAACCTCTGAGGATGCCTGCCATAGATGCAGGTGAAATGTCAGAAGAGAATGCTTCTAGAACATAGCCATACAGCCGGAAAAACCTACAACAACCCAAAGTGAAGTTCTTTTCCATACCTTTTAACCTACTCACTTCTCACACCCACACACCCACATTTCCTTTTAGAAAATTGGAATCCAACTTCCTTTCAATGGTGGAATAGGGACATGATTTTTAGTTTTCTTTTTTTCTCAATCTTCCCCTTCCTAAATATACTGGGCACCAGACTGATTGCCTCAGAGGCAAGCTAGACAAATAAACCTATACATAGCAGAGTTCTTTTGAGTTGTCAGCAGAGTTTTACTGCACAGCCTGACCTTGTGCCACTCACTGGTTAAGAAAATTCTTTAACTCACGTGGAGACTTTTAATCTTGACACGTTGCTTTACATGCAGCTATACATACACATACACACACACACATATCAGGATCACCTGATCTCCTATCAGTCAGTGGCATATACAGAGATATCCTCATGATGTAGGTAACATATATGAGCAACAGATATATAGTGAGAAGCAATAGAATCAAGGCACGAGAAAGAACACATGCTATGCTGCCCTCTTTTATTAACATTGCTTCTTCAACATTAGCCAGGGACACAAGAGAATGATGCAATTCTTGTCATGACTGTCACATGGCCATGATTCAGCTTCTTCAGCTTGTCCCTTCAATTCCACATCATCACCCACTTAAACTTTCAGTAAGTGTGTGACCACATGTCCATTAGAACAGTATTTTCCATCCGTTTTACACAATAGGGTTACAGCCAATGCTTTCCTGTTTAACAATGTATTATCTATCTAACACTTCCAACCACTTCTGATTTCATGGGCTTTTTTTTTTCAAAAGTAAGGTAGCATGTAAGGTTTCTGAGGGGGAGGAACATCGTCTTCCAGACCGCAACCTTTCTTCAACCTTCTTTTCCTTCTGTGTTTTTCAACTCTTTCTTGTAGTAAGCTATTTCAAGGACTTATTGAACATAATTTTGTCAGGTGCCTTGCCTGATTATTATCATCTTTTATAAGTGTGGGTTATTACAAATTACATATATCAAGACTGTCAGAAATATTCTGGAGGATCACAATTGTGCATCCTATATATTAAAAGCAATCTCTATTCTCAGACTGCTGACCTTTATTTAACCAAAATGTCTTTATTCATCTAAAATGCAGATATCATTAGCAGATACGGAGAAAACTTGAAATTTGAAGAAAGAGTCCATCTTTAAAGTAGTTTCAGGTAACAGGGGATTTTATTGATCTACTAGTAGAGCCACTCCTTCCTGCTGCACCCCTCTGTAAATAAAAATCAAATTATTCTCTTTTTTGCAATGAAATACCCATAAACAGCCCCTAGAAGGCATATTTTTTTTCAGAAGAAGGAAATTTTAGGCCCCTGAGATTTTATTATAACAGTAAGTGAACTCAGAATTCAATTCCTGTTCTTTTTATTTTTTAAAAAAAAAGATTGCACTATCTTTTAGAAGAAAAGCTCTTGGGCAGGGTAGCCAAAAAAAACCCAATAGGGACTGAGATTGCTTGCTGGGCTCCTAATGCCGATTATTTGTTGAGTGTCAGAATAGAGAACTTGAAAGAAGAGGAATGAAATAGAATACCCATTTTTCTCTCAGGGGTGGCTGATGATTGTGAGGTGGAAAATTCACTCTAAGTTACAACGGTTTATTGTTTTTATATGCCT